GGCGACGGGGTCGCGTCTCCCAGTGTCGGCGAGCAGATTCCTTTCCAACGCGGGATGTCACCCAGTTGGTCGTGGAGAAGGGCTTCGTGAGGAATCTCGTCTGCGTCTCTACGAGGGAGATCGGGTATGTTCCTCAATATGGCGGGGAGGAGGAAAGTCAGGTCTTCGGTGTCTTCTAGGGGATCGATGAGAGTCCTCTAGCACCCTTAGTCGCTCACCTTTCGAGAAGATCAGATAATTGGTTTGGTTAATCGCCGCGAACAGAGCCCTGGTCGTGGCGTCAGCGTCCGTGGGGACGGGGACCTCCTGGTACACATTTGGTTGATAGTTCTAAGGAGGACAGTGATCGTCTTTGTGTCTTCGGGACAAGGACGATGATGAGGCAGTCAACCCATCTTTGTATTCTGAGGGGCCGGGTATGTCGATGGCTTTGCCAGTGTTATTGGTCCCGGTGTTGTCGTTGTCGGCGTTGTTGTTAATGTTGGAGAGATTGGTATTTAGGTTATTTTCTGTGTTGAGGTCAGCCATGACGGTCAAGAGAAGTTGGATTTGCTTTTGTCTTAGGTTAATGAAAGACCGGGAAGCTTGTTTCCCACAGACGTCGCCACTGATCGTGTCTGACCAGAATGGACCGTCACAGCTTACGTCGAGCAGAGGTTGAAAGTGAGGTGGGGGGGGAGTACCTGCAAGACACTCTGATTCCAAAGTGAGATTCGAAATGAATCAAGCAAGTAAGAGAGTAAAAATGTGTTTAATACCTGACCCTCTCAAGAGATAGGGTATTTATAGCCCCCAACGTTGGGCCAAAGTCTCCTCATTGGGCTGGTCAAACAGGCCCTAAGTGGATCCCAGGTTCTACGTGTGTAGTGGGGACAGACACATGGTCCTCCACCTGGATGACTTCCTCTGTATGATCAGGAGGATATGGATGTGGTCTTTCCGGGACCACGAAGACTCCGTGATGTTCGGAGATGTGGGGAGTCATCCCTATGAGGAGGATGCCCGTGAGGCGCTTCTGCTCGTCGTGGATGCTCCCCACCAGGTGTGAGGTTGTATGGGAGAATCAGCCTCGGTCAAGGAGGGGACTGGAGGATGACCTCGAGATCCTCTTGACCGGTGACGATCTCCCTAAGACCACCTGAGATTATTCTCGTGTGGTGAGGTTTCCTCCTCGCGGAGAATGGAAGTTACTGCCCAACATAATTGGGTTGGACCTTGCGTAGAGTTGGGCCAAGAGCAGGTCCAGTCCATAACACCTGCCATCACGTTTTCAAATATTCATTTTTAATTAATTTATAATAAATACTAATTATTAAATTTTTAAAGACTTTCCATTATAAAAAAAATCTAATACCCACATTTCCAATTAACTCATTTTTTCAATTAATTCTTTTACAAAAAATTATACGAATATATTTCATATAATTTGGTAATCGATATTAAACCAAATATATGGATAGAAAAATAGATTCGGTCCATCGGGCATGCCAATAATTTTTAAATTCTTCTGTATTATAAACTTATGGATGCTATTGATATGATATGATTTTATCATCTAATAAAAAAATAAATTTAAACAAAGTTAATTTTTATAAGTGAAGTACCAAGAATGATACTTGACTATCTACTTTGTAATTTCATGTGCTTGAGTGAGTAGAGGATTTAATCTCATTTCACGTTTTACCATTTTTGGAAAAAACTTTACATGTAATACTTTTATTAGAAGGAGTATATCATATCACAAATTCGTATATAATTTTCTATAAAGTATATGATATTTTTAAAAAAATCTAAAATGAATAATATTTAATTGATTGAATATTTTTTATAGAAGCATTTTTGTTAAAATCTAAAATGATAATGAAGGATTCTTGTTATGCTACATATGCTTTTCTAAAAAAAATATAGAGAGAGACTTTTCAATTTTCAAAGTATTTATTAATAAGTGTCTCTGTTTAAATTCCTAAAGAAAGACATTGCATGCATTATAAACTGAAACTTTATATTTTTCATGTCAGCTAGTAAAATCTTGTCCAAATAACAAATCTTGAATATCTTGGAATTGAAAAGGTAAAATGTGGAGTTGGTTTATAACACCAAATAACAAATCTTGGAATATATTGGAATATTTAATGAAAAGGTAAAATGTGGAGTTGGTTTATGTGTTATAGCATATTATATTGTTTATTCGCTAAAAATTTTAACAATGCCAATGTCCAATAAAATACACGGGTTACTTTCAATTTCTTCTTTGGTTTTCTTCTAAATTTTAATCTCTGGATAATATCGAATGACCAATTACTTTCATTTTTTCAACCACATATAAATTTACAGAAGAAATAAAACTAAACCAATATTTGAGAAAGAATGTAGGTTGAGAAAACATACATTGAAAAGTTATAGAAGTGAATAGAAGTGAAAATACTTTTTTTCAAACATGATTGTCGTTGAACGTGGGAGAAAAAAACTAAAAATAAGTAACCAAGAAAAAGAATGAGATAGAAAAACATGAAAAAAAATAAAGTCAAACAACTGTGTTAGCCAACTTCCGACTCAGCCCCTCCTAAATCTTGACTCGCTCCAAGCTTTCCTTTTCCAGTGTTGACTCAATTGAGTCAAGCAACGCGGCGTAATAGGAAAATGACACAGCCACACGTGTAACAAATGGAGTAGTGTTTTTGTTTATCTCTTATTCTAAGAGGGTAACTACATGTGGGGGGAGTGATTTCATGCACTGGAGAAGCTCGTCGTGTGGATTCTCAGTTGACAGGCTTTCATCTGGCATCCCGAAAAGTTTGAACGCGAAGTTCACAGAAAGAATATCCTCCGAGTTGAAATCCAACACCCGCGAGTTAACTCTGATTTTAAGTGTCACCACTTTGAATGCAAATCTGATTCTTAAATGCTCAGCTTGTAGACTTAAATACTCTTCCACCGTCTTCAACCTCTCATCATTGGTGTCATCCAATACAACTGTGATCTTCAACGTCATCGGTGAATCTTCGAGACGCGCATGTGTTTACCGTGGTTTTTTGGTAAACAACCGCTGATCCTCCAAAAAGGAAAATTCTTTTGGTTACTTGCGAGATCGATCAGATTGATCCCAGAACGTATGCTAATTTTTATGTTGGTTTGATGTGAAAATAAATGTCTAGGAAGAACGCACGTTCGACCAAAGATAAGATGCTAGTGGTTTTAGAAAGTAAGAAAGTTAATGGAAATGCAGGTAAAGATGCAGGAAAAGTAACTTTGTAAAATAAGATCAAAGCAATGTAATAAAGACTTTATTAATGAAAAGTGGTGTTTCCAACGTACATTTCTCAGTTTATCCTTTCACACACAGCGGATACTTGGACAATATTTGAGTAACTAGCACAATAGGTTGAACACACGGAAAAAACTACACAGACTTCCTATTTTATACTAAAACTACGTAATCGTCGAGGGGTGGCTTTGCTCTAAGATGAAGACAAGTGTCCTATGCACGCTCCTCGACCTCTATCTTCCATCCACGTCATTTTCCTTTAACTGCTGGCGAAACCGTCTTTCCCTCCAACAATTCAAATTCAAATATCCTTCGTCTCTGGTATTGACACGAAGGTATGTTCTTCTGGTCGAAGGTCATAGGACCTTCATAGTCGAAAGCTTGATGGTGATGCCTGGTCGAAGACCAATGTGTAACTCAGATATTTTCTCTAAATTTTTTCCATCGGTCGAAATATTTTCCAACTTGGCTTTATTTGTTCTATTTTTGGCCTATAAGGCCTATATATAATAGGTGTCGAATTCAGGAGCCAACAGCGTGTAGCTCTTGGAGAAGGTTAATGTATATTTTCCCATGACCAATATCAAAATTCACCACACAAAGATTCTTCATATTGTTGGTATTCTTTGTTGTTGTTTCATCGAATACAACTTTTATGATTGCGACGTTGACAGTCATTAAAGTGACCTTAAAGCAGAGATAATTATCAAACAAAAGCTGAGTTGACTCAGCGTATTCCTTACTGAATAGTCCCGCTACTTTGAGATTCATGCGGGATTTCAGTGCTGAGACCATACAATAGGTTAATTTACCATCAAAATTCAGTAATGGATTCAGTGTAAGATCCAAACAGTTAAGAATCTCTGACGCTGCTTCAATTTTACCTTCAGAAATCGCGTTGGCAGTTTTCATTAACGATTGTTTGGAAGAGAACGTAACAGGTGAAAAAACAGAGGAAGAAGATGAATTGTTGTATGAAGTGGGTGATGAAACGGGTATCTGGAACATATTTTGCTCGAAACTAATCAAATTCTGAATTGTTTCAGACCATTCAGTGTTCGTAATCGCATAATTCACTGCTTGGAATAGTTACCTTTCATATTCTTTTGATTTCTCTAACTCAACCTTTAGGATTCTTTGACATGTGTTTTTTGGATTGAAAAAATATGAAGTATTGTATTTTATTTATTTGGAGGCTTTTGAAATGCAGAGAATTATTAAAATCTTAGATGAATGACATGGTGGAATGTGAGGAGTTGTGAATGTTTCCAAGGCTATTTCAAAATTTCTTCCAACACTAAGAAGTGTGAACTTTCCAAGGTAAATGTAGAGACAGATAATTATGAGATTGATTTGTTCAATACGTTAAAAAATGATCTGCAATAAATAATCTTAATAAAATAGATTGGTCTTTTAATATTTCAATTAGAATTGTATATTCCAAAACGTGGATTGTTACATATTAATGACTATCATTTAATAAAAAATTAAAAAATAAATAATAATTAAAAAATGTAATTACATTTAGATCCATGATAATCCGTGTCAAAATTGATTTTGTTTGGTAATTACCTTTATTATATTAAAACTAGATTATGTTATTACCCAAAAAAAAAAAAATGATATTTTTTGGTTATTTTGGAGCATAATCCAAATATCAGCCACTTTTCACCAACATTTATTCTCACTGAAAGAGACAATCAAAACACAAAAGCAAACAGTGAGAGAAGAGAAAATGGAGAAAAAAGTTGTGGCTGTGTGCTGCGTTGTGGGTTTCTTAGGGCTCTTGTCAGCTGCAACTGCCTTTGCTGCTGAAGCAACAAGGATTAAGGTTTCTCTTTTTTCTTCAAACCCACTTTTAATTCTCTGCATTGATCCACCACTTTTTCTTGTGATTCATTTCACTGTTTTGTTGAAGATTTTACTTTACCTATAGTTTTTAGTACATTATATCTGTTGTTCATTAAGCTTTCTCTTTCACTTGTTGAATCTAGTATGTGATCTTGTGTTGTTTGTTGAATGTCCTTTGCTTTTTCCCAATTTTGGAATAGATAGGGTTTTACACTACAACATGAACTTAGATGTAAGGGTTTTTAGTTCAATCTTTTGGAGAGAGAGAAAGAAAAGGGAATGATAAGTATTTAGTTCAAAAATCTCTTGAAAGCTTGGTAGTTGCTACTTGCTGTCATGGTTATTAATATCTTATGATGATGCATGCCAGTGGTATCTCGTTTCGATACTGAATTGAATTCGACCCATACGGATAGCTAGTGTGTCTCTATGTGCACATCAATCTCATCTTGAATCCCAATTCACTATGATGAAATGAATCACGATTCATTCCGCATAAACTTAGTGTAGACAACAGGCCCCACTTAAGTTTTTGGAGGTCCTGTGTAGGTTAGTCATTGTTCAACCGTGACAAAACAACTATGGTTCATATTTAGTCACGGTTTAACTCTGACATTCCTATTATGAGGCCCTACTTAGTTACAATTTCATCGTGGTAAATTTGAGGCCATGTGTTATAGCCCGTCTTACTCAGCCACAACGACGGCCTTGGTAGCCAACTACATTTTTTTGTCACCTTTGTAAAACCAACCACTTTTCTTTTGTTGAATCTTGAGTTATTTTCAGGTTCATATATGATATCTTAACTTAAAATTTTGTTATACCATTTGTTTTTAACTTCAAAATAACATTTTTGTTGACAATGTATGTTACGAAGTTACGATTCATAAGAAGACACGATTCACAGTTCGGAAAAAGAAAAAAAAAGTCTTCCGATTCACGATTCAATCCTGATTTTTGTAACCATGTTTTACGTTCTTTATTTAGTTTATTTTGCCATGAATGAAATTGATATGGTAACTACTGCTAGTGTAACTTCTTCAGGGTTATCAAATTCAGTTTATCTCACCAAATCAGTGCACGTATCCTCGAAGTCCAGCTCTACCTCTTGGTTTAACTGCGGCACTGACTCTTATGATTTCTCAAATTCTCATAAATCTTTCAACTGGGTGCATTTGTTGCAGAAGAAATTTGCGAATCCCTGATTCCAGTTGGACAGTGGCACTGGCCTGCTTTGTTTTATCCTGGTAACTTTCACTTTGTTCTTCGTGTTTATGATTTTCTCTGCAATGTTCTGTTCTGTAAAAGTTGCATGGACAATAAGCCAGATGAAAAGATGGTATAAACTAGAATCTAATCCAAACATGGTCTTAGGCTCTATTTTGATAAACAACTTAATTAAGAAATTATGCGTAGGATATGAAAACCCGAGTGTGGTGTTGTGTATAACATTAGAGTCAGATTAAGATTGTAAATTATACTCCTATTTGTCTTATGGTTCTTTGTGATTATAATCTCTGTTCAAACAGGTTCACATACTTAATCGCATTTCTCCTGTTGCTAACTGGTGCTGCACTGAACGATCAACGTGGAGAAGAGAGTGTATACTTTGGAACCTACTACTGTTATGTTGTCAAACCTGGAGTTTTTGCTGGTGGTGCAATGTTATCTCTTGCAAGTGTTGCATTTGGAATCATCTATTACATTACCATAATGGAGGGAAAGAATGCTAGCAATCCTTTTGGTAATTCCTTAAACCCTAATCAAGGGGCTATAGCCATGGGACAACCACAGATTCCTACTCAAACCAGTCAAGACCCGGTATTCGTGCACGAAGACACATACATCAGGCGACAGTTCACATGATTGATGAACAACTGTCTGTCATTAAAAGCTCGGGGATGTGTTACTCAGTTTGCTTGAATTTTTAGCAGTGAAATTTGGAGATTGCTTTAGTAAAATCTGTGGTATATGTGTACTCCTAGGATGTAGTGTTTTATTAGTTTTATGTACATTAGCCAAAAAACGGTTTGTGAGATTATGAATTTTATGGTGTTTATAATTGAATAGTATATACTACTAAGGTTTTAAATCATGGCCGTGTTTGTAATCTTCAATATTGCATTATAACTGCGGTCATATGTGGATGATATGATCTCAATTATTGTCAAAGTATAGTCGCGGAGACATGAAACTCCGTGATTTTGCTACCTAAATTATGGTTGTAGACCTTTTATTGAAACCCTGATTTCATATTCAGTTTGAGCTTTTCATTCATTCTATATTAGCTAACAAAGCATGTGGAAGTGGAAGTTAAAACACCATGCAATAATGGTAATCAATTTGGATATTTGTAGGCTGGCAAAGTGTTTTAATTCGCATATTCCAACTTCATCTCACAACGGTTTTGTAGTAGAAGAGTAAGAATCACTTTAACTGTTTGTGATCTCACAACAGGCGCAAAAGTTTAAAGAAAATCAACTCATTTTCATTGATTAAATCATTTACCCACTATAAGTAATCATTTACCCACTGTAAGTTCTAAATGATAATCATTGATCTTGTGGTTCAACTGTATAAAGTGACTTAGTTGGTCAATGCAAGTTTTGATGAATAGATTTGTTCTTTATTTTGCTTTTGATATGAAAAAAATTGTTGTCCATTGAAATGGTATTTTAACAACTTTTTTTGTAGGATATATTCATCAGATTCCTTTGGTATTTTTATTTCTTAAAGTTGAGAGGAAAGTTGTGTATGGTCGAATCTTTTTTTTAACCACTATAAATTAACAGTAAAAGGCTGCCAAATTGTATGGATATTGGACTTAAAGTGGAATCAGCATTATACTCAATTCCACTATAAACAAAAGTTAAAATGAACGTATTTTAGAAATTCTTTTAAATAAATATTTCCACCAAATAAGAGAGATTAATAAATTTTGCAAAGAACGTTAGAAGACTAACACTTCTTCTAGACCAAATAAAAGGGAAAACAATTATCGAGAATCGCCATTATCAGCATGAACATATATAGCAAAAGCATGAATGGGAAATCCTCAAGTTCAACCACTTATGAATCACTCAACCTCCTGAATGGTCTCTGAAAAGAGCTTCAAGTTTGTTAAGAAATTGAAGCAAAATTTAAGGTCCAACAATGGATCACCACATAAATATGCAACAATACAACATTTATCAGCAAAATCATTATGGTTTCTAATTCATCCATAGCATAAATTTCCAAAATTTTCAGACTACAGAAGCACAAGCCCAAGCTCTGATGACTTCAATGCTTGCCTTACTCGATAGTTGTAAAGATAATAATGAAGTTTACCATCACCCGGTCCAAACTTCAGCTCCTTCAAAAACGTTTCGTTTTGCATGACATCCAAAGCATTGAAAACATCAAAATCCTTCTGTTTTGCTACAATGAGAGCGTCATTCATCAGCTGAAGCAAAGGGGTCGCTGTTGAAACGTTGTAAAATGAATACGCTGCTTTCAAATTTGAATAATTTGGGTTGCCAAGGATAGAAGAGGGAAGTGTGTAAAAACTACAAAAGTCGGTGACTTCATGAGTTTCAGGACTTTCAACCAGATAACTATCGACAACATTCTCCCTTGGAAGAAGCCAATGCTCCACATCATTTTCGTCAAAATCAGGTGCAACAATAAAATGGCTCAAATAATTCCTAATTAGCCTCGTAACTGCAGGAACATCGTGGATTTCCATCTTTCTAAACCCAGGTGTGACTGTTGATTCTGGTAGCTTGTAAAGCTTGATAGTTCTACTCATTGTCATCCGTGCACCAAGCCGAGAGAAACCAACATCAATTAGCTTCTTGGGATTCAAAGATCTGTGCCAGTATTGGCAAGTTGATACTGGGGTAGGAAGAATCACTCCAGCAGTGTAAGCAGCCTGCCATATATTCTCCAAGTGCACCCTCCTGGTCACCTCTTTGATCATGACAGGAGCAAGCCTCTTTGTTCGAAGCTTCTTGTGAACACAAAGAAAATTAATTTCTGCCATACTAACAACCTCATCACGAACTCGGATTCGAGCAGGGACACCCGTTATAAAAGCAACCATCTTCTTGGAAGTTTTAACACGGACACCGATATGCCAACTCGTGAAGTAGCCAGGAGGTTGCAAAGCCCAGCGCAGAAACTCCTTCGAATAGTTAAACCTAAACATGTTCTCATCATCCTCAACATAATTATTGGCAAGAAGGGTGTAAATCTCATCACACATCTGCTCATCATGAATATCACAAGTAACCCATTCATAAAGGTTAGGAAGGTTATACGGTTCCTGTTTCACCTCAGACAAAGGGGTTGAAGGTTCAATAGGACCTTCTGGCAAAGCGGAGTTTCCTATATCCTTAAACTGCCCAACAGGTTGTGTTTCCCAAAATTTATGTCTTTGGTCAAGAGATAGAGATTCTTGAACTTTTTGTGCTAGATTATCCAATGCAAGATCACTTTCAGCAAGCACATTCCCATCTGGAATCGGATTTTGAGTCTCTTCAGGCGACCCAGAGGAAGCATTGCTATCAACCATCTCAAATGCTTTCAGAAAGATAATCTGAAAGCAAAATAAACATATTTTCATAAAAATATTTCATAAAAGAAATAAAAAATCTCCCTTAACATTAGATAGCTGCAAAAGTAACAAGATGCACCGAAATCAAAATTTTCCATTAACAATATCACTAATTCCATTAGCATCAATGAGAATTAACCAATAATATATGAAAACTTTCACTCACTCTTGTTATACAACTTCAACGGGTTTAAAAATAGACAAAAACTGGAAGGGAAGGCGGCGAATTTTTGTTAATATTATGTGTACTAACATCCATTAATATAAAAAAACAATTAAAATATCAAACAATACAATATGAGAATAAGAAACATAGTGAATACAGATGAAGCATGAGTAAAACAAAATCAGTCATAATTTTAGTGTTTTTTTCTTTCTCAGCACACAAGTAGATGCAAGTAAACTGAAAGCAAAACAGAGTTAAGTAGAACAAATCAAATATAATTAGGTTACAGGTGCAAGGAAAACTAGAGTAAATGAAACGAAATCTGTGTGCAAGGAACTGAAAAGGAAATCGTTGTGATGAAGAAAAAGCTTACAGAAGAGAAGTACGGAGAGTCTGAGTAGTAGGGAGATATGGAGGAGGAGGAGGAGGAGGCGGCGGGTGATAAGCAAGAGATGAGAATCAAGGAGGAGGCGGCCGGCGATCTGAAGCGACGTGAGTTGTGGGGGATTGGTAGCGTTTCCCGAATATTTTTTCAGATTTCGTTTTAGTTAAGCGGGGCTTATTCGTGCTATAGGCCCATTGGGTTATTGCAAAATTAAGACCAATGCAGACGAATTTTCTAGCCACCCCCAAATTTACATGTGGTTTTTCACCGTCGACATAGTCCGATTCGAGGCTTAGATTTAATATAAAGTGATTCGACCCTTCTTTCGATCCAAGTTGCGTCACTTTATGTATTTTTAAAATGCCAATTATGACTTTTTTTATACCCCTATCATTTATATGTTTTTGCAAAAGATTACTCTTCATGTATTACTTGAAAAGAATGGTAGTTTAAGAAAATATTAGAGATCACAATTTTGTTTAGTATTTTTTAAAAATATCTAGGTAAAAATCCACAAGATAGATATAAGTAATTACTCGTTAAAAGGGAGTATAACTACGGATATAAAGTGTTTTAATATCCACTTTATCACATATCCGCATAGTTTATATTTATATATTTTCATTTATATTATTGTATAATATTGTATATCTATCACTTTTATAAAATATATCACTACTAAACTATTACGTATTTTAATATAAGTGTTTGATTGTTTTATAATTCAATAATAAAAAAATTTAAAATTTTTATTCATGTTAAAAATATAAAATGATATGATATTTTTTAATTTTTAAATTTATTTTTATTAGAAATGCGGATAAAGGTACAGGTATGTGTACTGAGATAACTATAGAGTACATGTATGGGCACTGAAGTACCCATAGATAGAGGTGGCAAACGGGCATGTCTGCCCCGTTTAGGCCTGTTCCGCAAAAGCGCGCAAAAAAACGGAGCGGGACAGGCATAGTTGAAGATGAAAGCCTAAAACCTAGACCCGTCCAACAAAAAAGTGAGTGCGGGGCAAGGAAAGCTTGTGAGCACTGCACCTTTTAAGTCTATGTTTCCAGTGATTTCTGGTAAACAACCGCTAGTCTTCCAAACTATCGAATAATCTTTCTTACTGTTATTCAATTCCTCTGGTAACTCACAGGATCGACTAGATTGATCCTAGGACTCCTTGGATATTAAGGTTACTCTCACAATCGAACAATTATTCATGGTTGATATTGTATAAGTGTTTGGTTTATTTCGATCTCTCTCTCTAAGAGTCTAAAGATGTAATCAAAATGTGTATGAAAACTAAGTTATACGAATAAATGCTAATTGTAATGCTAATTGTAAAGACATATAAAATTGCATGAAAATGAAGTAAATGGTTTCGACTTACAAAACGTTTAACATAAAAGGTTTCTGGAATGTAGAAGTTTAAAAATGTGAAGAAAGCGTTTAATGCAAGAAATTTGTAAATGATTTCAAGTAAAAGTATGCGTTCGAAGGACAAGACTTGAATGTAAAGGTATGGAAAATGTGACAGTTTTCTGGAATATAAAGTGCTCGAAACATAAAGAAAATAATAAAATGTAAAACTTTGAGGCAGGGACCTCGAAATGAAAAGACTATAAATAAGAAAACTTGTAAATGTTGTTTGACAAAAAGAATAAAGGAAAGTACTGGAAATGGTAAAAGGTTTTCATTAAATCAAAAATACATGGTGCTATCATACATACATTTCTCTTGCATTCGTTTCCCTTGCCATGTGGTAGTTTGAATGTTATTGAGTATTTTGTATAATAGATATGACACACAGAAATCCTAATATTAAGACTCCTATTTATACTAATTCGACCCTAACGGTCTCGCTATAGGATTATGCCACGTTTCGAACATGCAGGATAATGCTTCTTTCATCTTTCCACGTGTCCCCAAATGCTCCAACACATAACTTTCAAACTTTGAAAGTCCCGCTTCCATTTGAATTTTAAATGCTTTGGTGTTTCTCCGTTTCGAGCGCTTTTCCCAAACATAGCCTGCTGTTGTTTCGAGACTCCTTTAGATAAGTTCCCATAATTGCCGCTCGAAGCTTCAAGCTTTGACACACTTATTCGAAACACTGCTTCTGCAACTTCGAAATATGGCGTTTAATTCCATTTCGATCAGAACGTTTAACTCTTTTGGCTTCTAAATAACATTATCAAAATCTTCAGCCAACAAATTGCCCCTTTAAAATATGTATTTCGATTCTTCTGAGAAATACCTATTTTAAACATTTACACAAGATTTTGATAGGACTTTCGAATCATCGTAACATTTAATGCATTTGACTCCAGTCACATCAATCATAACACCTTTTGGATTCCTTAACCGCCCGGAGTCACTTCACAGCATGGTGCAGTTATAAGTAATGATTATCTTTTTTAATCACGCCTATTACCTATGTTAATTTTCACGCCACCTCTTCATCACACCAACCCATGATCTCCATGTATCACACCTCTATTCGGTGGATGCTTAAACTTCCCCATTATAAAACATCAACTTAATCTTCTTCTTTCCTTTTCACACTCTAAATCTTTCATACTCTGAATTTTTACCCTCCTTCTCTCACAAAACAATCTAAGCTTTCAACATCCCTCAAAATGTCTTCTTCTACTTCATCCCAACTCAAGAAAGTCTCCAAGAAGAAAGGAAAAACTACAGGAGCTACCATGGAGAGTAAAATCATCACCATTCAAGGTCAATCTGCTCTTGCTCCTCAAATGATTTCCAAAGAAAAAGAAATGTTGTACGCATCACAGGTACTCATTCCTACCCACGTTGCTGGTAAGAGGTTAGCCTTAAATGGCCCTCTTACGGTTTTTGAAATATTAAAGGACACCAGGACAATTTTTCCCGTCTGTTATAGCTTCAAACCTTTATTCAACAAAATGGATGCCCCTAGGGCAGTAGAATCCCCTAGTTCAAATACCGTAGAAACCCCAACTGTTCCTCCCAAGGACCCCTTTGTTTTGGATTATGTAAAAAGCAATTTTAAACCATTTCGATCCTGCCCTACTTCTGATATTGCTTATCAAAATTGGTTCACAAAAGTAGAAGCCAAGAAATCCCAGCAATGGGAAGAATTAGGCATTTATAACCTGATTAAGCTATCGAAACCTGGATTTACCTACAGCCATCCCCTGCTATTCGCGTCCCTTTATTTCTGGGACAGTACCTACAACACTTTCCATCTCCCAGGTGGAATGATCACCCCAACCTTCTTCGATATAGCGGCCATTACTGGGCTGTCGCCAGTGGGAGAAACTTATGTTCCTGATAATGAAGAGCACTCAAGCATAATTGACTTCGAAGTCAAGTTAGCCAGCTTTTCCAAATTTATCAGTCATTATCATGCTGAAGGGGACAATGTGTCTGACGTAGAGCACATTGCTTTTTTAACCATGTGGCTGTCTAGATACGTTTTCTGCAGTAGATCCCTGCAGGTAGCTAGTAGGTTCATTCCTCTAGCTAGGGATTTACATGAAAATCGAAAAGTGTGCCTAAGTGAATTACTCTTAGTTGACCTCTATGAAAGCCTGAGGTCAGCTGTTTCGAGCCTCAAATCCTACACCTCCAAAAACATTTTATTGGCTGGCCCATTTTGGTTACTCCAACTATGGCTAAATGCCATGTTCGAACCCTCCTTATCAACCGCCAATACCATTGATGAGCAAGATTCTGAGATAAGTGATAGGATAGTCGAAGGCACTAGGCTTCGAAGACTAACTCCTAATGATGACAAAGATGACTTCAAAGTTCAATTCTCGAAGTACATCATGATATTCTCCAAAAGGCACAAGTTCGAAGAGAGCATGGCGCCTTTTGCTTCGAGGGCTCATGGACCTTCTTGGTTCACCATGGATCTTTCAGAAGCCATCAAGAGCAAGGAGATTCAGGATGTATGGAGAGCTTTCTTGCTACCTAGACTCATCTCTTCAAGGATAACCCCAGCCAAGAACCAAATTCTTCTCTTTTCCTACCAACCAAACTTTGTTTCGAGGCAGTTTGGCTTATGCCAACTGATTCCTGAACCTTTGTTCCAAACTGAGAGCGCCATCACTTCTGGACGAACTTTCAAGGCAAGGGAAGCCAAAATCCAGCAAGAACAATATCAAGGCTTTACCCAATTTGAGCTGATAGCCTTCGAACCTACCCATCTCGCGGCTAAAGGATTTCTGGAGTGGTGGATTAAGTTTTATCAAACTTATATGTTCGATACACTTACGATTCGACAGAAACTAATTGATGCCTTCGATGTGCAGGTACCAGCAAAGAAAGGTATGTTTACTCATGCCAAAGAGATTAAAGCTTTTCAAAATTATTTTGAAACTACTTACGACCCCACGCGCTTGGACTCCACTGTGCATCAAGCAGCTGAGACCTTGAAGGAAAAATTTAAACAAAAAGTTTCTAAGCTAAAACTTCCTTCAGGGCTGTCACCTGAGGATAGGTATAGGTTGGCATTCGAAATGCATCCACCTAAATTTCCCAGATTACCTACCTCAGAACTGGCTCTGGCTTGGTTTCCCCCATATCCATGGTGGTTTACTTGCAAAGAGATGTTCAAATATCTTCAAAGGAAACCAAAGCCATCTGAGACTGTGACATGGGCTCGATACTGGCTTCATGATTTCCCAGGACACCTTCGATACGACCTTTCTTCCATGTCAATTAAATCTGATCAAGGCACAGGTGCGAATGCTTGGGAAAATCCCAAATGTCTTTTATTTTCCATATCTTTAACCTTTGCTTTAATTGTTTTGATTTTCAGCTATCAGGATAAAGACAGCTGCCTCGAAATCGAAGGAAGGGAGTGCCTCTCAAGCCTCCATCGAAACTACTGAAAAAGCTACTCCACCCGAAACAACTACTACTGCTGCAACTACAACAACAACAATAACGCCAACAACAACAAGTGCTCCCATTCCAATGGTAATCACTTAGCCTTGACGTTTCGAATTCACTCAAGCTTTGTGGTTTATATCTAACTTTTCGTTAAATTCTTTCAGACCAACAAGCTTCCTCCTACTACTCCCAAGAAGCGGAAATTAAGCACTACTGGGGAAGACCCCAAGGCTGGAGGAAACTCAAATACTGCTTCGAAGAAGAAGCTAAAGAAAGATACTCCTAAAAGCACTGTTCCGACTAGTGTCTCTGGACTCGATTCCAGGGATGCTGCTCCCTTACCTAAATCCAAAAATCCACCTTCGACCTCCAACCCACCGTTGGAACGTATAGCTAGTAACCTCTCCTCTGAGGGTCCACAGGTAAATCGAGCTTCTAAAAATTGTTTCCAACACTAACTTCTTATTACCTTGGTGAATGTTTTTCTTTAACATTC